GAGGAAGTGTTAAAAATGGGGTGAATTTTTTAATAAAATTATATTTATTGTACAATGAGAAATGAGTATTCGAAAGGCAATTGGGATTTTTTATTATTATAGTGGGAATCGAAAGGAGTAAAAATAGAAAACAGGTAGAATTTATTTTTATTTTATTGTAGTAAAGAAATAGATGGTAAAATACATTTCGCAGTGTTAATCACTAAATTAAAATTATAAGCAGTAGTTGGTAATTACTATTTAATTACTATAAACGAGTGGAGAAAAAAAATTTCTTTTGAAATTAGTGGTTTGATTATATAAAGACGAGAAAATTACCCAGTGGAAATTTGAGAATATATAGAAAAAGAAGAAGGAAACGAAAAAGAACTCGAAAGAGAAGAAGAAAAAGAAAACAAAAAAGAATCAGAAACAGAAACATAGGAAACAAAAAAGAAAATGGAAACGAAAACGAAACAGGAAAAGGAAACGAAAAAGAAAAAGGATGAGAGAAAGAAAAAGGAAAAGAAAAAGGATAAGAGAAAGAAAAAGAAGAAAAAGAAATGAAGAAGGAGAAGTAGAAGAATATGAAGAAATGAAGAAGAAGAAACAGAAGAAGAAGAATGAGCAATGATCAAGGCGAGTAGTATGGAGAACTTCCTCCTGAGATTGGTATCAATTTACCCCGAAGGTCTCTTAGCAGGGCGTTTCTTCTTAGTTGTCTCTATAAACTCTTATCTCTCAGTTACAAGCGCAGGAAGAGATAAGAAACAACGGCAGAAATGCACCCTTTTGTCCTACGGGGCTATTGAGATTGTGACAAGGATGAATTTACCCGCCTTCTTGTCTTCATTGCCTTCTAATCATTAATCAGGTCCGAATTGAGTTCAACATTTTTCAAAACTAATTATATTATTTATTTGCATTCAATTTACTGCAACTCTTATACTGGTTGCAACACTTTTATTGCTCTTAATTACAATTTTTCATAAGTAATAGATTGTTTTAGTTAAAAACACTAAAACAAATTGAATTTTTAAAGCAATTACATATAAATTATTGCAGAAATTCAATTATTTTCAAAAGTAATAAAATTCTTCTCAGAAATTCCATTATTTTCAAAAATTTGAATAAAATTTTTGGTAAATTATTTTTTAAAAACTTTTCTCAATTCAATGATTTTTAATATCTACTATATTTTAATAAAAATTGTCAAAAAAGAATTCAATTAGTTAAAAAATATTTTAATAAAATTCTACGCAAACATTTCATTATTTTTATAAAAAATAAAATTTTTTATTTAATTATTTTCATAAAAAGTGAAACTCTTCGCAGAATTTCAATTATGTTCAAAAATTTTTAAAAAATTCTCGTCAAAATTTCAAGTATCTTCATAAATAATAAAATTTTTCTCTGTAATTCAATTATTTTTAAAAATTTTATTAAAATTCTTGACAAAATTTCACAGGTATTCAATTATTTACAAAATTTTTAATAAATTTGTTCGAAATAATTAAATTATTTTCATAAGTATAATACAATTTATACAGGAATTGAATATTATTTAAAATACAAAATTTCATAAAATTTTTCGAAAAATATTATCAATTATTATTTAAAAAGTTTTTTTTTTAAATTCGTCGCAAGAATCCAATTATTTAAAAAAAATTTAACAATGTTTTTTTCAAGAATTCAATTATTCTTATAAACTTGAATGAAATTCGTTGCGAGAATTCAATTATTTATATAAATAATAACATTTTCCTCTGAAATTCAATTATTCTTCAAACTTTTAATAAAATTTTAGGCAGAATTTCAATTATTTTTAATAGAATTTTCATTTTTTTTTCTCGAAAAATGAAATTCTTCTTAAAAATTTTATTAAAATTTGTCAAGAGAATTCAATTATTTAAAAATTTGTTGATTAAATTCTTTATGAAAATTCAATTTTAAAAAACATACAATTATTTTAAAAAATATTTATTTTTGCATTTAAATAATTGAATTCTTGCATAATTACCGAATTTTCTAATAAATATTGATTTAAAAAATTAATTTCATGTTAAAATTTTAAATTATAATTGAATATTGAAAGCATTATAGCGTGGATTTTTACAAATAATTGAATTTTCAAAAGGTTTCAAATTAAAATCTTTGAAAATTTGAACTTTTCATACTTTTAATTAAGAATTTTGTAGAATTAATTTTTTTTAAAAAGTTTTAATGGAATTTTTTTTTTTAATTATTTGAATTTTTTTAATTTCTAATATATTTAATTGAAGAATGTTAGAATAATTGAAATTTCGTAAAATTAAATTGTCAAAAAAAGAATTTAAAAATTCTCAAAGAACTTTTTCAAAAATTATTTTTAAAAAATTGACTTAAACTGACTAATGTCAGCTAGTAGTAATAGTTACATTCAGTAGTTGTTACAAATCATTAACATTTCTAACGAGTACTAGTTAAAATTATTAATAGTTACAACAGTATTATAGTTAAAATTAGCAATGTTGTTACAACCAGTAATAGTTGTAACCAATAGTAGTTACCTCCAGTAGTATATAGTTACAAACCACTAATAGTTATAACTAGTAGTTATTAAAATAATCAGTAATAGTTGAAGCCAAAAGTTACGAATAGAAATAGTTGCAAACAGTATAGTAATTACAACCGATAGTAGTTGTAACCAAAAATAGTTACAAATAGTAGTAATTGTGACAACCAGTAATAGTTATACAACTAGTAGTGGTTACAACTAGTAGTAGTTACAACCAGTAATAGTTACAACTAGTAGTGGTTACAACTAGTAGTAGTTACAACCAGTAATAGTTACAACTAGTAGTAGTCACAACTAGTAGTAGTTACAACCAGTAATAGTTACAACTAGTAGTGGTTACAACTAGTAGTAGTTACAACCAGTAATAGTTACAACTAGTAGTAGTCACAACCAGTAATAATTACAACTAGTAGTGTTAAAACCAGCATTAGTTACAACTATAGCAGTAGTTACAATCAGTAATATTTACGATCTGTACAGTAGTTTACAACGAAATCTTTATACAAATAGTAGTAATAGTAGAACTATTATTTCTAACTACTAGTATAGAAAAATTTAATTCTCCAATATTTTCGACTAATTTTTGACTTTAATTCCCGGTCGAAGGACAATTTTTTTTTTAGGTCGACATTTAAAAAATGATAGTTCTCCATATTGATGGCACACTTTTTTTTGGCTTAATGGGCAAAGGTTGGGAATGAAGGTTGTCTCTGTTTATTGGTTGGTTTCATGAGTAACTAAAGAATCGTGTGGATCGCGATTGGTTGATCAGAATCGAGAGAAGATTGCGTGTTGTACTTTCACCACGCCTTGGAGGCCGCGTTCTTGGTTTCATTGGTAGAGCGAGGTTTCAGTTTCTGCTTTGCCACCACTGCTTTTGCTTTTTTTTCTTCTTTTTTTTGTAGCCTCATCTTTTTTTTTTCATACGCTCGGCAATTGTAGTCTCCCTTCTTTCGTGACTGTTTTTTTTTTCTTATTTTGTCCATCCACTCTTCGTGCAGAAGATTTTTGTTTCTCTTTAAGAGAACGAATCATATAAAGCTGTGTTTTTGACTCCTTGCTCTGCAAATTTTATGGATCTCTTTCTCTCTCTCTTTCTTTCTCTCTTTCTCTCGTTCTCTCTCTTTTTCTCCCTCTCTCTATTTTATTTCCTCTGTTTTTTTCGTTTTTTTTTTTTTGGTTTTATACTCGTTTTCGTCGCTGAATACTTTTTTAGGTCTTTTTTGATTTTCTGGCTGTTTCTCTCCTTTTTTATGCTCGTGAATTTTTTTTTCTCTCGCTGTACTTGTTGTTTATGATTCTTCACTTCTTAATATCCATCCACTTGTCTTTTTTTACTGAAAATATTTTTTTTCAAGCAACTTTTTTACGATGAGAAGAGTTTTTCGTAGAGTCGTTTATTTTTTCTTTGGTAAATATTTAGACTTTCGCGCGAATATATATTGAAAAAGTGTAAATTTCTGTTCTTTATCATTTTTTATTTATTTATTTTTTTTTTAATTATTGTTAACCCTTCGCGTTGTCTGGAATTTAGTTTAAGAATAACCCGCTCAGTAGGATTTAAAGAAAAAAATATTCAGAACAATCGTTTTTTGTTTCAAGACTTCTAACCCAAGGGAATAAAATAAACTTTTTAATAACACTAGGGTGTAAAATTAGCATTTTAACCCCTAGTTTTAAATTTCGTATTCAAAAACTGCGCGAATTAACTGGAAAAATTAATTTATAAACGAACCTCAGGATTTAGAGAAAAAAATAGAGAATAATCGCGTTTTTTGTTTCGAGACTTTTAGCCCAAGGGAATAAAATAAACTTTTTAATAACACCTAGGGTGTAAAATTAGCATTTTAATCCCTAGTTTTAAATTTCGCATTTAAATACTGCGAATTAATTGAAAAATAATTTTTAAAACGAACTTTAAGATTTACTGAAAAAATATTGAGAATAATCGTTTTCTATTTGAGATTTTTAGCTCGAGGGAATAAAATAATACTTTTTAGAGCCCTAGGGGGTAGAATTACCATATTTCAGCTCTAAGACGAATTGCAGGAATTTCTACTTTTGGAACTTTTCCCCCACAGGAAACTATATAATTTCCTATTTTTTATTTACCTACTTTTTATCCCATATAATGAAATCATTTTTATTCCTATGGGCCAAAATGAGCTCTTTAGTCCCTAGGGAAAAAATGTCTAACAATACAAAATATGACCATTCTGTACACAATAATCAAATTGTTAATTATTTCGATTAATATATTTACTTATAAAAATATAATAATGCAATAATATAATATTATAGTAATATAATAATTATTATTATACTTAAATACAAAAATAAGATAAAATTTAATAAGTCTGTAAATTGATGGATTTTGAAATTTCTTTTTTTTCAAATTTTCTTGTTATTTACACTGTGTTTGTCAACATGACAGTTTTAAATGTATGTCGCATTTATTTTACAGGACTTTCCCTCAACGATTCTTTCCTTGAAAGAGAAAACGAATCGAGCCGACTCTTTAATCAGGATTCAATCGACCTGCATTGCCCAAGACATTTATCTCTCTGGATAAATGTACAGGTGAGTGATATTGTACATCTCATTAATCTTAACATCTAACATTGTTAAGTGCCAGCTGCATTTCTCAAAAGTGCAAAAATTTCCAAATTGTCCTCTTTAATTTCTGTTTATTATTACAATTTATTATTATTATTATTATTTTTATTATTAATATTATTTTTATTTTCAATTATTTTTATTTTTATTTTTATTAGATGTTATACTTAGTAATGTTAATTACTAGAAACATTAATGCTAATTAATTTAAACATTCTTATTTATTTTAATATTAACATTAAAAATTAAATTTATTCTCTTTAATTTCTGTTTATTATTTCAATTTATAATATTAATATTAATAAAGATTATTTAATTATTATATTCATTGAAATATTAATTAATGCATATTAATATTAATGTTAATGGGTAACAATTCTTGTTATTTATTAATAAATTTTAATAACAATTAATATATTGTTTATTTTTGAAAATTAAAACTTCTTTTATAAAGAACGAAAATAAAAAATATAGATCGTGAATAATGACGAAATATTAAAATTAATTTTGAATTAAAAATAAGAGTATAGTTTTGACACTAGGCAGTAAAAGTATATCTTTTTAATTTTAAGTCCTTGGAAAATAAATATTATCTAATTTTGACCCCAGCGATTAAAAAAGTAATTTTTAATTCTAGAAAATATAGATGAGGATTATCTAGAGAGCAAAAATAATAGGAATGTAAATAATAATAAAAATAATAATAAAATAATAATAATATAATAAAATAATAATAAAAATTAAAATTAAAATAATAACATTGATAATAATAATAATCCAGAGAATAAACTACTATATTTTTTAAACTCTTCTTTATTTTTACTATATTCAAAGTAATATCAGCAAATTTTCTCGAAATTTATTTATTTTCATTTTCAATATAATTAATAACTTTAATGATGCTAAACTATAGAATTTAATAAAGAATCATAAACAGGAATGTAAAAAATTTTCAAAGTTACACATACAGTGTATATTGTATATATATTTTTAATAGCAAGCAATTTTGTAGAACTTCTTTTCTTTATTGTATATACATATTAGGGGGGAAAAAAATTCAATTTTTATTGACATCCGTTTCGTGATTAAAAGAAAAAAATAAATAATTTCCGCATAATAAGAAGGATGTAGAATTTATGACCTTTATTATCTGTAATAAATGACACGCAAGAAATTGCCTCTCGTTTTGCAAGACTCATTATATGTATGTATAAATTTTATACAAAAAAAAAGGAGGAGAAAAATTTGTTTAATAATGTATACACATATAGAATACAAAATTTTTGCTCTATACATATATAATATAGTTAAACAATATTTTACGGAAAAATAATTTTTTTTCTATGATATGAATAATATTTTTTTAAATATTATTAACTTTATTTACTAATTTTTTTTTTTTGAGGCGTATAATTATAACTTAAAAATTTGGTAAACATTTAAAAATAAATAAATTAAATTAAAAAAGTTTCCTATTATGAAATTATCGTCGCACGGCCACTATCGGAAATCCCCTCCCCCTTTTTTTTAAATGATAAACGAATTGCAGTAAAATAATATATGCAAATACGTTTTTGTATTTGAAAAAAAAAGAAAAGACCAGAAGTTGTAAATTATTCCATGAACAGAATGAGTGTATATATCTATATATCCTGATAAATATATATATATAGAAAGGACTTTTCCGTCGCGAATCTTTCCCACTGAATATTTAATGACCAAAGCATAGATAAACCGGAAATTAACTTTGACGGAAGTTTTGCTCCCTTGATATGTGTATATTATATGAACATTGATATCTGTGCGTGTGTGTTGTGTTATATATGTGATTTTTCCACTCGTGTATATACATTTAACAAGGCACTCCCTTTCAAACGGCCGTCTCCGGCTTTGAATACTTTATTTTACGCCTGTTGATCATTATCCATAAGCACCTGCGTGCTACGCAAATCGGTTTGCGCAATTTTTTATTTATTTATTATATTAAATCACTGATATATCAAACAGTTAGGCTGTAAATGCTCATAGTGTATATGTATATGTACTTACGTAATGTTAAAAGTAATTTTTAAGGAAATTATTTACAAAAATAAAAAAAAAAATTATTTAAATGACAATTTAATGTTAATTTAATAATAGTTTTAAAATTTATTTAAATTCTAATTTAGTAGTTATTTAGTAGTTATTTACTAGTTCAAAAAAATTATTTGAACTGTAATTACGAAAGATTGTTTGAACTATAATTTAATAGTTATTTAAAATGTCCTTGATGACAACTTTAAGAAATAAGTAAATAAATAATATACCGTCGACGTTGAGTGCGGCAAAAAATTTTATTTCTTACAAAACCGAAAAGAATTGAATATTTTTTTCAGTGATTTTAAGTTAAAAAGTGATTGAATTTTAATTTATTTTAATAGTAATTTAAAAATTGTTTAAATAATAATATTTAAATTATTGTCAATAAAAAGACATAATTTTTTCTTAAAGAAAAAATAGTTTTGTTTGTAAGTAGAAAAAAAGTGTTTAGTCAGACAAAAATGTTACAAATTTAATGGATAATTTAGTTACTAGTAGTAATGGACGCTTTTAGTCAGACAGTTTAAAATAAACAAATTTTTATTCTCAGTAGTAGAAGACAGTATTGGTCAGACTAAATTTTTTCAAGTACTCGGTATTTTAACAATAATAATATCGAAATAATTAGTAAATATTACTTAACAGTAGTTATAATGATACTAATAATAATAGTAATTATATACAAGTAATAATGAGAAACAAGTAGTAAAAGTCGATTTTAGTCATACTCGAATCAAACTCGGATTTTTTTTAATGTCCCCATTAATTGTAATAAGCAGTGAAAAATTGTTTTTGTTAGACTAAAATATTCATTTTGAAACTTAAGATTCAGGAGCAAATCAAATTTTTACTTAGACAACTTTTATCTAATTTTTTCTAAATTTTGAAATCAGTAGTAAAAGATAATTTAAGTCAGACAAAAATATTATTCAAATTTTGAAATCAAGTAAATATTATAATAACTTTATTGAGTATTTTAATAAGTAGAACAAATGAACTTTCACTTAGACTATATAAAGTTTTTCAACTTTCTCTTATTTATTTTGCTGTAAGTGGAAATAGTCGATTTTAGTCAGACACTTTTATATTCTTGGCAACTTTCTCTTTATTTTGATATAAGTGAAAATAGTCGATTTTAGTCAGACATTTTTCGATTGTTGTCAATTTTAGGTTCAGTAGTTTAATAACTATTCATATTTCAAAATTTTGAAAAAAAATTCAGTGTAACTACAATTTCTTTCAAAATTTTTAAAATTAGTAGAAGAAGTCCATTAGAGACAGACTGAAGTTTTCGTAGTTTCTTTTAAATTTGACGTATAATTATAATAATATTATTGAAAATTTGAATAAATAGTACAAATAGTTTTTGGCCAGACAAATTTTTTCAACTTTTTTTTTATTTTCATATAAGTGGAAACAATCGATTTTAGTCAGACATTTTCGGATTATTGTAAATTTAGGTTCAATAGTAAAATAGATATTCAATTTCAAATAAAAAAAAATTGTAATTACTCTGAATTTTTTACAAAATTTTAAAATCAGTAGTAGAAGTCCATTAAAGACAGACTGAAGTTTTCGTAGTTTCTTTTATATTTGACGTATAATTATAATGATATTATTGAAAATTTGAATAAGTAGTACAAATAGTTTTTGGTCAGACACATTTTTTCAACTTTTTTTAATTTTCATATAAGTGGAAACAATCGATTTCAGTCCGACATTTTTGCATTCTTGTCAATTTAGATAATTATTTCTTTATCAGTAAAATAAAATTTTTTATTTAGACGGAAATTTTTTTTAAATTTTGAAATCAGTAGTAAAAGACCATTAAAGTCAGACTAAATTTGAATTTTCAAATAATTTTACTTTAAGTAGTACAAATAAATTCTATAGTCAGACTAAAATTGTTCGAATTTTTAATAACATCACCATGAGTAGTTGAATTAATTTACAGTCAGACAGAAGTTTTCCAAGTTTTTTGAAAATTTTTTATTAATTAGTAGAAAAAACTGTTCTGATCAGACGGAAAAATTTTACGAATCGGAAAATTTTGTCAGTAGTAAAAGAATTTTACTAATAAAAATTTCTTAATAAAAATAATAAAAAGAATAAAAAATTCTTAATTTAAACGAAAAAATTCTAAAATATATTCTAGAATTTTTTCGTTAGTAGTTAAAGACTCTTTTAGTCAGACTAAAAGTTTTCGAACTACGCTTATGAATTTTATTAAGTTATTTAAAAATCTATATAAATTTAAAAATGTGCTGTTATTATTTGTTAATAGTAATTTTAACAATATAATAATAATATTAACATTAATTGTCTGACTAAAAAAGTTTTTAACTACTTACGAAACAAATTCGAGAATATATTTTTTTGGGTTCAAAGGAGCAGCGGGGGGAACGTAACATAATTTTTATTATAATAATAATTATAATAGAAATTTCCAAGCGCACTGAAATTTCGTCAGTCGATAACATTCCCCGTCTTATATATATAATTAGAACGAAAGCTTTTAAAAGCCATGCGTCGGCCGTCAAGCCACTTCTACATTCATTATTGTTTCTTGTTCCCGGGATCCAAGATAGGTGGATCGTATCCACGTTTTGTTTCACTTTCAGTAGTAAAACTCTATCTACCACAGTGGATCGAATCAGACACTCTTTCCATTAAGCAACTAAATAATTAACAATCGAAAAAAAAATTAAATCTACACTTTACAATTATTTTTTTCTCCTTTTTACACTAATAAAAATAAATAGAAAATAATTTCCCTATTTTCAAAATATTAAAAAGCACAAAAAATGTATTTGAAGATATAATTAAAATTATTTCCAATTTCGACAGAAATATTTTTATATTTTATTTTTTTAAACTCAAAAAAT